GAAGCGTGTCTCAGTCACGCGTGTGTGGGGAAGATAATATTCCCCAAGAGGCTTCAGGGAACCTCCGCTTGGGTGCCCTGATCCCTCAAAATAATTGGTAGTGGTCTGTATGAAACTCCACCTTACTCCTTTTTCTCTTCCGTTCCTTTAGTGTGAGCGACTGCAGACAAGTGCAGGCCCTCAGTACATAACTGCAGGGTTATTGTTTTCTTTTTAAGAAATGTCAAACTCCTTTTTCATAGCAACTTATCACAAGAAACGGAATTTTAACTTAGAGACCCAAGTCTCTGTTGACCATGAGGGTGAAAGAATGCATATCAAATTCCTGAGGCAGGAGAAGACTTCACGTGACATTAAAACCATTTTGGTGATGCAAATAATGGACTCTGCAGGAGTTATCATAAACCCAGGGCAAGGCAATGCAAGCATTTCAAGCCGGAAGGGCACCGTCTGGTCGCTACCCTGTCTTGATTTTCTCTCAGCTCTGGCGCTGCTTTTAAAATAAAGGACTGCAGGCAATAACCTTGACTTGTGACTCGAGTTTGACAGTAAGGTGGCAATAGATAGACTGCGGAGGGTAAATGTGAAGGAAATGTCAAATGACAAGTTTGGTCCTGTGGAACTTCTTTGCTCTGGGCGATACTACTTGGAGGGACACTGGGGAAGAAAGACTTGGAACGACCGAGAATTCGTTTTAGGTGAAGCTTTTGATACCCATGAAGTACATAAGGGGAGATGTCAGCAGGCCCTGGTGAGTGGGATCTCGAAGTCAAAGGAGACTCAGAGACAGGGGTGTGTGTGTGTGTGTGTGTGTGTGTGTTAGAGATTGTGTTAATGTTCTTCTAGTTCTCTGACTTTCAACTAGGACACAAATATCTAGAATGTCAATGATGGCCTGTCATAGGCAGATATTGCGTATGAGGAGAAAGAACCCAAGCCTTGAGCTTGAGGTAGTGATTGTTGTTGGCTAGTTAGAAGACAAGGCTCTGCTCTCAATTTGCATACCAACTACCTGTGAGACTAGCGAGGAAGAAGGCCACTGGACTGAGTGCTGTAAGGAAGACACATTTGAGTGGGAATGTAATGAGCATTATAAATGATCTCCAGCAGTTCTCAACGTTCCAACCTTTAATGCAGTTCCTCATGTTGGGGTGACCCCAACCATAAAATCATTTTCTTTGCTATTTCATAACTGTCATTTTGCTCCTGGTATGGATTTTAATGTAAATATCTGTGTTTTCTGATAGTCTTAATCATCCCCTGTGAAAGGGTCATAGACCAAAGGGGTGGTGACCCAGATCCACAGGTTGAGAAACACTGTTAGCACCCACTCCACTGTTTGTCAAGAAATTTCACCTGACAGTGTTAGTTCTACTCTCTTTAGCTTTGTTGGGAAGGTTCAGGACCCTTCAGGCAAGCTGGCAGGGCTGCCGACTTACTCTTGAAACAAATGGATGACTTGCAGTTTCCCTGCCTTTCCCTTAGTTGTTGACAGTTGCTCCCCAAAATGAGAACTTATGTAGCAAAGTTCACACACAAGTCAATACAGTTCATGTTTTCCCATGAAGTTCTGACTCCATGTTCTTTGGATTAATGTCTCTTTCCTGACTTAAGGCATTTTAGTTTGTTACTGTTATCTTTTAGAAGTTTCTAGCATCTGAATTCTCAGAACATTTTAGATTTTAATTTGATATTAAAGATTTTTTACACCTTTAAATATCCATATATTGGCTTGGTATTGAAATGGCTTATGAAATAACCTGTAAGGTTTTGTCTTTCTATGGCATCCCACATTATTTTTTAAATAGTTGAACTAATACAGTTAGGCTGACATTTCTGGTCTGGGATCATTTGGGAAGAGTAGTAAATAATACAAGGAAAGGGAAGTTTGTGGATTTGGTCTTATTTCACCACATTCTTCTTTGTTGATATCACTTATTTCACTACTAATACTTCGCTCGTATTCTTTTGGATTGTGGCAAAGGGGGCTTGTAAAGAAAAAGGGATTGTAGCCATGAAAGGGACTTGTGAAGAAACAAGAAATTAGCCTCCATTTTTTCTGCAAGATCGTGTGTGATCATTCCATCTTCCATGTAGATAAGGTACTTCCCCCTCAGCCACTCCCCACCCCCCCACCCCTCCCTTCATGCTTAAAATTCCCTTGTTGTGGGGGCTGGAGAGATGGCTTAGTGGTTAAGAGCTCAGCCTACTCCCCCTTTCTGGCTTCCATGAGCACAACACTCAATAACTAAAATAAAAATCTTTAAAAAAAAAAATCCTTGTGTTGGGATTTCAAAGGTTTCACAATGGTGTGCTAGGGTGTAGGAGGAAGGTGTACGTTCACCATCCTGCGGGATTTAGTGTGTTTGTTACAATTGATTAGCTAATATTGACACATTGTTATTTACCAAAGTCCATAATTTACATCAAGGTCCACACTTTGTTCAACTCAGGTTTTGAGTTTTGACAAACGCATAAATGACAGGTATCATCTGCATAATGCAGAGGAAATTTTTTTTTTGCCCTAAAAATCCCATGTCCCACCTGTTCACTCCTGTCTCTGAGCCCTTTTCCAAGTGGTCATCTTTGTACTATCTGTAGCTTTGCCTTTTCCGGATATTATGAAGTAAGAACATACAGTGTATGACATTTTCAGACTGACTTCATTTCACTTAGCAGTGTGTACAAAAGATTCCGTATTTCATTCCATTTATAAATGACATTTTATCACATATCAAAGAGCATCTTAGTCGCTGCCATGTTTTGATAATCACAAGTAAACATCCATGTGTGTAGGCTTTCAAATCACTTGGGGAAATACAAAGGCTCAGAATCTCTAGAGCATGTGATTAAGATATGTTTTTGTATGAAATGGGTAAACTCCCTTCCAAAGTGTATTATCTTCCACTGACAACAAATGGCTTTCTGTTGCTACACAGCCTCACTAGTATTTAATAGTGTCAGTATTTGGGTTTCAGCCATGGGAACCTTTGTGTGGTTGTAACATTTTAATTTACAATATGCTTGTTTGCCATCTGTGTGTTTTCTTTGATGAACAGTTTGTTCAGATCCTTTGACCATTTTTGAAACATTTTAAGAATTCTTCTTTATTTCTTACAATTGTATTTAGATCATCTTCACCCCCACTCTTCCCTCAAGCTCCTCCCAGATTCAGACCCCACTTCTTATCCCCTCCCAATTTCATGTCCTCTTTTTTTCCCTTTTACTTTTTGAATAACTGCTGAGCCCAATTTGTGCTGCCAATAAATTACTCATAGGTATGGGACCATGCACTGTGTGATCAATCTACCAACAGCTGTACTGTGATGGCCTTAATGAGAAGTGTCCCCCATAGGCTCACAGATTTGAATACTTGGTCCCCAGTCCCAGAGATTGTTGGGAGGTGTAGCCTTGCTGGAGGAAGTACATGACTCAGAAGCAGGTGTTGAGAGTTTACAGCCCTGGTTCTCAGCCTTCCTAATTCTGCGACCCTTTAATGCACTCCTCATGTTGTGGTGAGCCCCACCCATAAAATTATTTCCTTGCTACTTCATAACTATAATTTTGCTACTGTTATAAATTATTAAATATCTAATATGCAGGATCTCTGATGTACAACCCCCAAAGGGGTCACAACCCAGACTGACATTCACCAGCTAATAGCCTTGTCCCTCCCTCATGCAGTTCACTCTGCTTCCTGCCGCCATGCCTGCCACTAAGGGCTACACCACAATGGGCTTTTGTCCTTCTAGAACCTTAAATCAAAATAAACTCCTCCTTAGGCTGCCTTCGTCATGGTGTTTTTGTTTGTTTGTTTTTGTTTTGAGACAAGGTTTCTCTGTGGCTTTGGAGGCTGTCCTGAAACTAGCTCTTGTAGACCAGGCTGGTCTCGAACTCACAAAGATCCGTCTGCCCCTGCCTCCCAAGTGCTGGGATTAAAGGCGTGACGCCGCCGGTCACGGTGTTTTTATCACAGAATCAGAAAAGCAATACACACCCTGAAAGAGAACTGGCCCCTCCTCCCTTAGAAGCCATCAGCTGTCAGTAGCTTCTTGGGAGGGAGCTCCTGAGCCCCTCCCTACTTCATGCTGGAATGTTGCCTGCCTCCTTCCTGTGGAAGGCAGTCTCAACTGCTCTGAGTTCACCAGGACAGTGGCACTGTCATGTCCAGAAGACACTGTCTCACTCTGGTTCTTCCTAGCCCCTGGTTCTTACAGCCTTTCAGCCTCCTCTTCCACAATGGTCCCTGAGTTTGGGGGAGGGGTAATAGAGACTGTTTTGTGGCTGAGCACTTCAGTGATACTTTGCTGCCAGTTTTGAGTTTCTGCATTAACTGCCATCCACTGCACAAGGAAACTCCTCTACAGAA